CAACATAAGGGATGAGGGAAGAAGAAGGGGCCGCTGGTCTTCTACCTGGTTCAGCTTTCCCTTCACCCACACCTCCACTACACAAACGCACAAACTGCATCCACCACATAAACACACAGCATCCACGACACACACCATCCACTACACACACAAATCATCCACTACACACACTAAGCATCCGCCAAATATATTATCAAACAGACAAATTGCATCCACTACACAAACACACAAACTGCATCACCACATAAACACACACAGCATCACTACACAAACACACACATCACCCACTCCCCACCTACACACACACATACACACCATCCACCACATAAACACACACACAGCATCCACTACACAAACACACGCAGCATCCACTTCAGACACACATCATCCACTACACAAACACACACACAGCATCCACTACACAAACACGCACACAGCATCCACTTCACACACACATCATCCACTACACAAACACACACGCAACATCCATTACACAAACACACACACAGCATCCACTACACACACACACACACAACATCCACTACACACACACACACACAACATCCACTTCACACACACATCATCCACTACACAAACACTACACAAACACACACACAGCATCCACTACACACACACACAACATCCACTTCACACACACATCATCCACTACACAAACATACATCATCCACTACACAAACACACACATCATCCACTACACAAACACACACACAGCATCCACTACACAAACACACATCATCCACTACACAAACACACACACCATCCACCACATAAACACACACAGCTCCACTACACAAACACACATCATCCACTACACAAACAGACACACACATACACCACATAAACACACACAGCTCCACTACACAAACACACATCATCCACTACACAAACACACAACATCCACTTCACACATACACATCCACTACACAAACACACATCATCCACTACACAAACACACACACCATCCACCACATAAACACACACAGCATCACTACACAAACACACACAGCATCACTACACAAACACACATCATCCACTACACAAACACACACACAGCATCCACTACAAAAACACACACATACTCCACCACATAAACACACAAACTGCATCCTCTACACACACACATCACCCACTACACAAACGTACAATCTGCATCCACTATAAACACCGCATCCACTTTACTCATGCACTTTGCATTCACTACACACATTCTACAGCCACTATACACACGCACCAAATTCAGTACACACACTTCATTTTTGTGGTAGACTCAGGATGGGCCCTGTGGGTAGATCTGGGGGCAGGTCATGTGGGCGGACTTGGGGGCAGGCCCCTGGCGGCCCAGACCTTGAGTCAGGGGTCCCAAAATTTCTGGCGGCAGCCCTGTCACATGCACTTATATTTTTGCCATGATAGACCCCAGCATGTCGATTTTTAACATGTTTAATATCAGTTGCATTATTTTGACACAGGCCATACTCCGTGATTTATTAAGATGTCAGCTACACTTTGTGTTTAATTTTCTGCAAATTGTGTTGCTACATTTTCTCCCTAGCCGCGTTCTTTGAATATATGCAATTTTTCCAGCGACGCAGTAAATTCATCATTTTTTTCAGCTGCTTTTTCCATCAGAAAAGTGTTCTGTTTCACCTCTCTTTCTTCTGCCGCTCTAAATTTAGCGGGGCTTCTGAAATGTAAATTTCTGGGAAACCCGGCAGAATTCACTGTGAAGAAAACCGTCACTATTTAGATCACTTTTAGAATACTTTAATAAATATGATCAAAATAATGACGGGATTTAACCTTCGCTTTTCAGAACACCTTGATAAATATCCCCTTTTGTTCTCACTCAGTGCAGCGTTTACCCCAGAACACACGTTTCATCACTCTCAGGAAATACGGTTTCCTTTAAAATTATTTTATGGAAAACATAAATATTTGTAAGTCGGCTGAATTACACTGATTAGTAAATAGCATTTTGGCAAAACTTTGCTGTAAGGACAAGGAATGCTTACATTTGACTATAAAAAATTGAATTCATAGTCATTATGTATTATAAATTAATGGAATTTTTTTTGAATCTATATTATATTAAACTGATACTGCAAGTAACAAGACAACGTTTATATATTCTATAGCTTTTGTCTAAATAATAAAGTTATTTACGTGTAGACCCTGCCTCCCCTTCCTTATTTTAATACACTCCTTTGTAGTTTAGCTAACAGCTTTCATAACCAAATTTCGGATCAAATTCAAGATACAGAAACTCGTTCTCGGACCTGAACTGAGACTGTGCACAGAGGGTTTTGAAATCTGCTAATCACCACCTGTTCACTATACTTTATCCCTAGTAATGGTGAGTTAAGCTCCAATAATTCAGTCTCGATAGACTAGACTGAAAAGCTAATGATACCTCCTCCCCTCGCCCTGTCTCGGTTGGAGTCCCCCAAGGCTCCGTCCTTGGTCCCCTTCTATTTTCTCTTTATACTGCCTCTCTTGCCAAACTTATTACCTCATTTGGATTCCACTACCACCTGTACGCTGATGACACCTAGCTATATCTCTCCTCCCCGGACCTCTCCCCTGCTGTCCTGCAACGTGTCACTGTTTGCCTTTCTTCCATCTCTGAATGGATGTCCTCCCGCTTTCTGAAACTCAATCTCTCAAAAACTGAGCTCCTTGTCTTTCCTCCTCCTAATACTGATCCTCCTCT